TTCCACAAGTAAAGGGTTCGGATCATTAGGCTTTGCCCAACCCCCCCTCAGGGATCGCAGGTAGATCAACAACTTGTACATATCTCCTGGAAAAAAATATCCCATCACTAAACCTCATAATATCCCATCCGAGGTCTTAGTCGAGACTTGGCTTTACGCCCTTTGGTCTTTCATTTTTCGTTTTAGTCAAATGTCTCCGGTGCAAGGCTATCTTTCTTTCATTCCAATTTTCCATGATTGACATTCCTCTGTATTCTGTTGTGCTCAGCGAACGGATAAAGCCCAGGATGGGAAGTCGCATCTCTTTCGGAGTTGAATCAGGAATCCTACTCGAAATCAGAATCGAATCACGCGCTCTCAGAGAACGAAAGACTCCATAGCCGCCTAGTATGAAAAGTTGGTAAAGTCATCCTGTACTACATCCGTAAGCCTTCCATGTATTGCATTCGTTCGTCAGGGAATGTTAGCCCCTATTGGAACTCCAATCAGGGTAATTTGACTTCTACGTACAAGTGGACCAGCCAGTCCGTCCGTCTGGTAATTGATTCCGTATTCAAGGCCGTCCTAGCTTTCCAATTTCTCTGTCCTAACAGCGTTCGAAGCCCTTGCTTTAGATTCATTCTTTCCTATCTCTCTTTTGAGTGTGGTATGAGTCTAAGTGTATTAGTGTATAGTGAAGTGCGGAAGACTTTTGCTTCCTAAAAATGGCTTAAGTGCTGAAGACTTTTGCTTTCTAAAAATGGCTTAAGTTCGGAAGACTTTTGGTTAAAATGAGGTATCTGTATCTTCTGAATAGATTTGAATACATTTAATCGTAAGACTTTTGCTTAAAATGAGGAACCTGTATCTTCTCAATAGATTTATGTATCTGAATACTTTTGCTTAAAATGAGGTACCTGTATCTTCTGAATAGATTTACGTATCTAACTTATACCTGTATTCAGATTTACCTATCTATCTTATACAGCTTAAAATGAGGTACCTATATCTTCTGAATAGATTTACGTATCTAACTTATACCTGTATTCCGATTTATGTATCTAACTTATACCGCTTAAAATGAGGTCCCTATATCTTCTGAATAGATTTTAAGTATCTAACTTATCCTAAAAATGGCTTAAAATCTATAAATATAAATTTGGTAATCAACTTGTGTTGTCAAATGGTCAAACAATCTCCTAGCTTAAGAGTGGTCATCTTCTCCTAAAACGCGCTTAAGAGTGGCCATCTCCTTCGAAATACTTAGGCCGTGTGCCATATTGTTTTTAAGGTAAAGGCAAGACACCCATGTACGGTTGACGGAGACATCGTGATCTGAGACTGTGGCGCGTGCATAGGATAGTTGCATATTTAAAATTTTGCATTTCATTTATTTAAATTATTTAATTTGTAATTGTTTTATCTTATTTTAAACTCCAGGATGTTTGAAACACGTAAGTCCGGCAGTGTTTTCTAATGTTTTAACGTATTCTGAAATTTTAAATTTTTCCGCTAATAAAGATGAGCATTCTTAAAATTATATTCTGCATTAGAGATGAACATGAGACGTTAACGACGACTCTAGATATGTGAAAATTTAGGGTCGTTACACATCGTCTCAAACATCTTGAAAATTATACCGAACAAACTTTACTTTGTGATCCGTTTAAGCAACCTTTTCTTTTTTTTTTTTTTTTTAAAGAAAACCATCACCATTTTTCAAATTAAAAACCAAAAAGATTAAAAGTTGTATATATATATATATATATATATATATATATATATATATATATATATATATATTTATAATTTATCAATATTAAATAATAAAATTATTAAAAAAGGAAGTCATACACACGTTCCGTCGATCCATACCCATGATTTGGAATCCAAATTCAGCTCCTCATGGCCTCAACATTCTCTTGACATCACCTGCAATATGGTTAAGTTACCTACTTCTTACTTTTTAAGAGTGAAGACTATCACCACAGACTAATACGAGTCCATCTAGCATGTTCTAACTTCATTCACATATATTCTAGGAAAATTCCGAAGAGTTCATGCAACATAAAATTGTTATAAGTAAAACACGTTTAATCATAGAATTCATATAATTACGTGTCAGGAGTTTAGTGCAACTTATTGCTATAATATATTAATTATGGAATATATCTTAGATATTCGTAATCAGTTAATATTTTTCATTTATAATTTGATTAATAGTATATTTTATTTTATTCTCAAGATTTAGTTAGTTTATATTTTCATTCCTGTATTAGTTGATTAATCTTAATTTTAATTTTTGATTAATCTCGGGAAAGGAAGGTAAAATATTAAATTAATCTAATTAAAAAAAATTAAATTAATATAATTAAAAAAAATAAATTATGAGAAAGTATTTAATATTTTAAATGGACAGAAAAACCTAAACTAGGTTCTTTCAAACATGCTGACGTTTATTGATTTAACGGAAATTAATTTAATAATCCCAAATAAATTAATTAAAAATTTATAAATAAAATAACTGAAAGTCAATCATTATTTAATATTCTTTTTTATTTTTATTTTTATTATTATTAGATACAATTCAATATTTTATGTGTTTTTTTTTAAATATTTTCCCTAGTAATTTATCAATATACTTTTAATTAGTTTGATGATGATTTCATTTTTTTATTATTATTTTTTAAAATCTATCCTTTTTTTTTTTTTTTCAATTTCCTATTTAATTTTCTAAGTTTTTAAATAAATACATTTAAATTCAAATAATAATAAATTCCACACCGGGCTTACGGTCAAAGCTTTATAAATGGTGTTTTGTTATGGGTTTTTCCTTTCGGGCTTTCTCTCACGGCTTTAAAATGCATCTACTAGGGGAAGGTTTTCACACCTTTATAAATGGTGTTTTGTTCTCCTCCCCACCAACGTGGGATATCACACATTTGGTCATTCAAACTTCAACACATGAATAGAATATAATTCTTGATTTAAAAAGATGTGTATAATTCGAATTGTAATTAACCGTTACTTCTCAAGATTTAATGTAATAACTTTAGGAAAATATAACAACCCAAGCCTACTGTTAACAAATATTATCCGCTTTTGCCCATTATGCATCGTCATCAACCCCACGGTCTTAAAACGTATCTTTTAGAGTTACGCAACGGAATCGATATTCATCCAGATACTATTCTTTTTAGGCTTTCCCTTCTAGACTTCCCTTTTATGTCACTCTAGGGAGAAGTTTCATTTGTAGCATGAGTTTGAGGGTTGCTATTTGTAATTTTCATTATAGTAGAATCTGCAGTGATAGAAGAAGGTCAGCGTAAACTCAATTTAGGATCTAATGTAGCGACAATTGACTACAGAAAATCTACACGAGAAATGTTGACTGAACGTTGCCAAGAGAACAAAGAAACTATAGATGCTAATTAGGGTTGTAGATGGTTGTTGTCGAGGTATAGTTGAGCTAGCAACAATGATAACACATATCGGTTTGTTAGATCAAGATCAAACCGTTCAAAACTAATTGGAAAGTTTAGAAAATTAAGTCAATCTTAAAGGCTGTCGTGAAAACCCAATTTTCAGATGTTCGATGGAATGCATAGAATCACATAGATGAGTGAATGACATCAAAGTCGAAGACCTAAGATAGTTACTAAGGCAAAGGTCGAGTCTAATTTGATAGGAAGCTTAAAGTCGAGTCATTAAAAATTTTTATCTTTTTTTTGACAAATTGTATTGACGACTGATCTTTGTCGGATTTAGGGTTTATTCGTTGTTTATCTCAATGGTTCAATCTGATACCTTATAATTGTTGAATTAAAAAAAACAAGTTTTACACTATAGATATTTTAGTTTAACCATGATCAAGCGTAGTTTGAATCTCTAATCTCTAGATCGAGTCACATATATTCATCCTGTAAAATATTGTTAAAAGTGAAATAATGTATTTCGTGGTTAAATCTTATACAAACTCATTACATAAGATACTTATATTCACATGTCTGTACATGAACACTTTGATCCTTGAACTTAAGATATATTATTAAAAATTTCAATAGATACTTAAACTTTCATGAGACTGACGTTCCTCTCCTTAGCAGATGCATTTTAAAAATCGTGAGATTGACGATGATACGTAAGGGGCCAAAGCGGACAATATCTACCGGCGATGGACTTGAGCTATTACAAATGGTAATAAAGCCCAACAACAAGTTGAAGAGGGGGTGGATTGTGAGATCCCACATTGGTGGGAGAGGGGAACGAAGCCGCTAGCCCCCAAGGGGGGTGGATTGTGAGATTCCAGTTGGAGAGGGGAACAAAATATTTCTTATAAGGGTGTGGAAAGCTCTTCCTACCAGACGCGTTTTAAAAACCATGAGGCTGACTATGATACGTAACGGGCCAAAATAGACAATATCTGCTAGCGGTGAGCTCGAGCTATTACAATTACTATCAAAGCTAGACATCAGGTTGGAGAGGGGTGGATTATAAGATCCCACATCAGTTGGACAAAGAAATAAAACCGTTGGGCTCCCAAGGAGCTGGATTGTGGAATACCACATTGGTTAGAGATGGGAACAAAACATTCCTCTACCTAACCGATGCATTTTAAAAACTCTGAGGCTAACGACAATACATAACGAGTCAAAACAGACAATATCTACTAGCAGTAGGCTTAAAATAATCACAAACAACGATCTTACCTGATATACGTGGATAATTGTATTATATTTAAATAAGTATTGAAAACAACCCACCACTAATCTTGAAAGAAAAGATACCTAGGCATATGTCATGAACAACTTTTGAACGTAAATTAACACAAATTTTATGGAATGAAATTACTTGAGAATTCCAAAACCCTAATCTTGGTCAAAATATCTGTCTGCTATGAAACTTCCTTGTATTTGTATAGAAATGAAGGAGGACAAAGACATGGCCTAGAGTCTTCCAAATATCATATATAAATAATCCCACCCAATGGCGTAGAAGCTACCCACGCATCTTCCTTTGAGTATCATTTGTTTGAGCCACAAGAGCCAAGGGTGGTTAGGTTTATATAAAATGGATACTCAAACTGCAAAAGACAAGGGGCCGATTTGGGATGTCGATGAGTTTGTTGATACTCAATCCAGCTCAAAAACTCACCCATTTTTTCTTAATGGGTTTTGTTTCTTTTTCTTTGATCTCTTTTGTTTTCCGTTTATACTTGTTTTAATTGCTTAAAAATTGTTCCTTTTTCTGAGTTTTCTCTGTCTTTGTGTCGTTTGGAACTGTTGGGTTTTTCAGTTTGGAAGCTGAATCTGTTCTATATCAGGGTTTGTCTGCTAGACAAGTGGCCATATTCGAAGGTTTTATTCGCTCAGTGGTACTAATTTCATCTCTCTTTCTCTCTCTCTCACTCAAATAATACCAGAGCCAAGACACTCAAATAATATCAGAGTCAGACACCAGTTATGTGAAAGCTGACCCCAAAAGGGTGAATTGTAAGATTCCATGTCGGTTAGAGAGGAAAACGAAACATTCCTTACAAGGGTGTAGAAATCTCTCCCTAACAAACGCGTTTTAAAACCGTGAGGCTGACAATACGTAGCGGGCCAAAACGGACAATATCTACTAGCGGTGGGATTGGTGTGTTACAAATGGTATTAGAGCCAAACACCAAGTGGTGTGCCAACGAGAATGTTAACCTTCAAGGGGGTGGATTGTGAGATCCCACATCGGTTAGAGAGGAGAACGAAACATTCAGATGTGGAAACCTCTCCTTAACAGGCGCGTATTAAAACTATGAGGCTGACAGCGATACGTAACGGGCCAAAACGGACAATATCTGCTAGTAGTTGGCTTAGATTGTTACAAATGGTATCAAAGCCAGACACCGACCAGTGTGCTAGCAAGGATGCTGTCCCTCAAGTGGGTCGATTGTGAGATCTCACTTCAGTTAGTGAGGAGAACAAAACATTTCTTATAAGGATATGAAAACCTCTCCCTAACAGACGCGTTTTAAAATCGTGAGGCTAACGATGATACCTAACGTATCAAAGCGGTGGGTCTCAAGTTACACTAAAACTTACGAGAGAGTTACCAATAACTTCTCCTAGAGATGATCTACGATTAATAAATCGAACAAAATCAAAATCAAAATCAAAATTACCATATTGATAATTTTCTATAGGTGCACGAGGTGGTGGAGCTCCAAGTTAATTATTACATTCGCTCCATTCTATCAAGGTATGTCATTCTTGAACTAAATTGATATTAATCCACATGGGTTTCCTCCTTAAACCCTTTTTGTTCATCAAATTCAATCAATTTCATGATCAGAAACAGCCAGCTTAGCAATCATATTGGAAAAGAAGCAACAATAAATGGGTTTGGAGCTTCAAAGTTCAAGCTATTGTTCTTGAATCAAACAGCCCCAACAATTTTCACCAACAATGAAATAGAAGCAAGAAATGGCAAGCCACTTCTAGTTGCAATTTGTGATACCACCAACTCCAATGGCATCATCAAGACAGGTCCTTTATCGTCGGCGTTGGTCGAGTTGGTCGTACTCAATTTAGAATTCGGCTCCGACCAACGAGTAGACGAAAGTTCGTGGACTTCGAGAGATTTTAACAACAATGTTGTTTCTAAAAGAGAGGGGAAAAGACCTTTGATCGTGGGGAATGATATGATAATTTGCTTGAAAAATGGGGTTGGATTCATCAAAGGTTTGAGCTTTAGTGACAATTCGAGCTGGACTAAGTCTAAGAAGTTTAGATTGGGAGCAAAAGTTGTTGATAAGAACATCTTGGCTAAGTTTCCAAGAATTGTGGAAGCTGTTTCAAAACCCTTTAGAGTGATGGATCATCGTGGGAAAGGTATGTCGTTTTTAACTTTATTTTTCTCGATATATGATCCAATATTTTAAATTTATTTCATTTTAGTCACGGTACTTTTAATAATATTTTAAAATCGGTCATAGGGACTACTATGATTCTCTTGTATCGACTATTGGTTAGAGCACCGACTCTCGTTTGTCATGGTCTAGTACTAGAGCATGACTAACGAGAATCGTGGTCTATGGCTACAGATTCTTTGGTGATTCCATCACAATTGATGTCAATGATAATTTATCCCAGTAGGCCACGAGAAATTGATGTCAACGGTACATGGGTTGAATTGGGTTGGTTGAAAAAATCTTTTGAACCGACCCGAAATTTCAGTTTGATTGGGTTGGTAACCAAGTAACCCGAACAAAGTTCACAACCCGACCCTCTATTTTTGAATTATGTTGGGTTGTCTAGTTATTTTTTAATTATTTTAGAAAGATTCTACTTATTCACAATATATGTTATATTAATAACTAAAACCTCGTACTAACATAAGTTACGATCGTTAAATATTCTTATTTAAAAAAAAATGTTTTGGTTGGGTTGAGTTGTAACTCTATTTTCGAGTAACTCGACCAAAAAAATGTGTTCTTCAAAAATTCAACCCAACCTAACCCAACCCATCCCAACTTTTATGGTTTGAGTTAGGTAGTCTAGATTGGTCGGATTATCGGATTATATGAACACCCTTAGTTTACCACCATTGACTGCCTTTGACGTTAGCGATGCTCTATCAAATAGACTAGAGTCAATGTCAACTATAGTTTATTGGTATAAACAACTGACGTTAGACGTAATCTGTAATGATATACTCAAATTGACATTAGCCGTGGTTCATAGCGATAGACCACGACTAATATCAATCATTGACTGCATTTGACGTTAGCAATGCTTTATAAAATAGACTAGAGTCAATGTCAACTATAGTTTGTTGGTATAAATAATTGACGAGAGACTCAAATTGACATTAGTCGTGGTCCATAGAGATGGATCACGACAAATATCAATCATTGTCTTTATAAAAAAAAAATGATTATAGCTAATCATAATTAATCTTAGATCATGTTAATTAATAAAAAAAAAAATTCCTTTTGGTTACGACATTAGTTTACAAGAAGCACCACCCGCCGAGGAGGGAGGATGAAATATGGCGATTGGAAGGCATTGGCAAGGATGGCATATACCACAATCGTTTATTCTCCAAAGGCATAAAAAATGTCGATGATTTTTTGAAGGCTTATCACAAAAAGGGTCCAACTTACTTTAGAAAGGTAACCATATTTAGTCCTCAATTATGATTTACATATGTATATATGTATATGTATGTGTATGTGTGTCTGTGTATGTGTATGTATATGTGTATGTGTATGTGTATGTGTATGTTTATGTGTATGTGTATGTGTATGTATACGTATATGTGTGTATATGTATTTGTATATGTATATGTATGTATGTAGGTGTATATGTATATGTATATGTATATGTATATGTATGTATATGTATATATATATGTATATGACCTTGTATATGTATGTATGTATGTGTATATGTATATGTATATGTATGTATATGTATATATATGTGTATGACCTTTTATTACATACAAATATGTTGTATGATTGAAGATATTTTGTCTTCCATTACGGTTTAATATCATATTAGCTATCCATTTATTATTTTTTACATTTTATTTGTAATTTATTTGATTATATAAATGATTACAAACGAACTTTCACCACCATTTAGGTGCGGTGGTTTTAGCAAATATGTTTACTTAGTTTCGATAATTCATGCATGCAGCTTCTGGGTGGGAGAGTCCCACAAAATACATGGAAAAGGATGGTTAATAACGCTTTAGAATGTGATGCCTTTATAGCCTCCATGGCCTCGAATCCGAGCTTTAGGGTTCGTTCGATGGGAAATGAAACCATGGGAGGTGAAGCTTTCGACATGAACTCGGAGGTTAGTGAGCCGAAGAATTATAGTGAAAGCGATGGACTACAATTTGATGGCCAGCTTCAAGACTTGGTATCTTACCCTCCAACCTTTGAGGTCTCTCTCTTCTCTCTCTCGAGTGAATATCTGTCTTTAATCGATTCGATACAGTTCGAACTTGAACGAGGATCGAACCGAACGAATTGGGTTTCCTGCACTCATCTTCTTGAACGATTTGAATTGGATTGAATGTTAGGAATCACAACTCTCTACAATTGTATGATATTGGTTTGAATTGGATTGAATGTTAGGAATCACAACTCTCTACAATTGTATGATATTGTCCACTTCCCTCCCAACAATTCTCAACAATCCTCCCCTCGAACAAAGTACACCATAGAGTCTCCCCTGAGGCCTATAAAGCTCTAGAACAGTCTCCTCTTAATTGAGGATCGACTCGTTTCTTTGGAGCCCTCGAACAAAGTATAACTAAGACTTATTGACTCACAGACACTGTATGACAATATTACACTTTGTTTTATAGATATAGTAGAGGTCGGACAATGTAGACCGTACATTTGTGGTCTTTTATCTTATCTTTTTTACACTTGCTGATCTCTTAGATTTGTTCATAAAATAACTAGATATCTAAATTTTTATAGATAACTGACTCATATAACTATTGGGTTTGATCCGTTAGACCGATATATTAACGTATGATATGTGTTATAGGAACGTTTGTCGGGAAATTATGAAGGAATTATCGGAGGCCATGACTTTGAAGGGACGGGAGAACAAGACTACCATTTCATTTTTGATAATGGTATTTCAACTTATTGATTTCTTTCTTGTTTATGAATATATATGATCTTTGTGGTAAAATAGTTACTTTCATTTGCAGATTATCTGCCATTGTTGCCACATGGAGAGGCTTCAAACTCAGATAGCCATAACAATGATAATGTAATGACTCACGAACAATATAATCAAGGTCGATGTTGGACTGGGTTGGTGCCTTAAACGCATGTAAGGGGAGTAGATATTCGGTTTAGAGTTGCAATATTACTCTTGATCTTGTTTCAAGACTACTATTCGAATATAAATCGATTAGAATTTTGGATGAAAATTGAGAAGCTAGAATGAGTGTGGAGGTGACCTAAAACTCGTGGGATAGTATTCACGTCACGATTTCTGTCTTGAGTCACCGTTCACATCATTTGAGGTCTTAGTATGTCCAACGTTCTTATAATAGATTTATATTCTAAGAGTAGTTTTAAAACGCGGATGAAAAGTTAGATAACATAGCAATTAGTGCAAGTATATTTTGTAATAGAGAGAAAAAAAAGTTAAAGGTTTTTTTTTTTTTTTTAATTTAAATTGTACATGGAAAGTTTGAAGTCTCGTTTTTTTCTTACGCCTCGATGATCGTCCTCTAGGCCTCTTTGGTTGAGCTAATAAGTCTAATGAAATACATCGACTTCTAGGTTGCACTTCGCTGATTGAAACAACCTCTGGTATTTTCTTAGATTTGTTCTTCGATTTCTTTTTCTCCCGACCCATTGGTTTCTTCTTAATTTTTTTTTTGTTGCCAACTTCAATAGATACTTTTGGAAGATGTTGATGGTCTTTCAATAGCATCTTATATAGGCAGTTCTGCGATGGGTTTACCCTCATCAATAAGGCTCCATTTTTGTCAAATATCTTGAGTAACGAATCGACTAACTACTATGCTACCTTCTTCTGTCATTTGACCAAGATTGATAATATTACTCTTTAAGCTTGGGATATAATATATTTGGTCGGTAGATGTTGGTTGTCATTCTTACAATGGAACAAGATGAATCAGTTGCCTTGGATAGTATAATTGATACATCGTCAAACTTCATGTTTCCAATGAGCTTTTCATAAAACTCCTTGAACTTGATTATACTCTTGTCCTTCCAAGGGTTGACCTTGTCATGGATTTGTGAGGTATTATCACGACCTACCTGCCACCATGTCTGTGGCCATGACCCCAACCATGCCCACGACCTTTAATTTTTTTTTGTTGTGGTTGCCATGTCCATTCATTTCTAAACGGATATGTTCTTGAGGTTGCCGAATTGCTCGATGGAGTTAATAATCTACATGAATCTCGGAGGGACAGCTCAAAGAAACTTCTTGATGACGGAGATCTCCTCCACCTTATCGTCTAACAAACGGATGTCGCTGACGATCGTCATCAACTTCATCGCAAAATCATCTATTGACTCACTGTCTTTCATGCGGATAGCCTCGAACTCACTCTTCACAGTCTACATCTTTGCTCTCTTGACACTTCCTAGATGCACATGCATTGTTTGTAATGTCTCCACGCCTATCAACTTTCATTTTGGTTTGTCCCTTAGCCACATTCTATTGAGAGAGGTATCTTTCTGATACCATTTGTAACGACTCACACACAAATTCGAATCAGAATTTGAAATCCAAATTCAACACCGGATGACCACAACATTTCCCTGCAAATATCACTCAAGGTTTCTATCGTTGCAGCGTTGATGAGATGAGATGCTCAAAGTAGCTTGTCAACTCTATAGAAATTACAATGTGGCTACATCTAATTTTGTGATACGTTCACGACGCTCTTCCCTGAGTCGGTCATGCATACTAGGATGTTCAATTTGGCTCCACAAAACCCACTAAAGGTCTCAATACCGAACACATGAGATTGTCTAGATGGCCTACCACATATGGCCTTTGGAATGTGGGCTGTAAACAGAAAAATAGCCACTCTATAAGACCTCCTGGCCCAAATAGATTTTCGACTGTATCTTAACCATTATTTCCATAGTTATATATCCGATTTGGACCGAAAGACGAATACACAGCCTACCATTCATGTATTTTTGAGTAATAGCAATGAGATTTTCTAATATCATACTAAGAATATGTGATGTCCCACGTTGGTTGGGGAAGAGAACAAAACACCCTTTGGGTGTGGAAACCTTCTACTAGCATACACATTTTAAAGCCTTGAGAGGAAACCCGAAAGGAAAAGCCCAAAAAGAACAATATCTGTCAGCGGTGGGCTTGGGCCGTTACTAATGGTATCAGAGCCGAACACCGGATGATGTGCCCACCTTCTTGCTTATGATGTCCCACATTGGTTGGGAAGGAGAACAAAACACCAAAGAATGTGGAAACCTTCACCTAGGCAGACGCATTTTAAAACCTTGAGGGAAAGCCCAAAGAGGACAATATCTGCTAGTGGTGGATCTAGGTCATTATAAATGGTATCAGAGCCAGACATCGGACGATGTGCCAACCTTCTCGTTGTTCCTTGAAGGGGGGTAGACATGAGGCAGTGTGCTAGTAAGGATCCTCGGCCCCAAAGGGAAGGGGGGAGGTGGAGTGTGATGTCCCACATTGGTTGGGGAGGAGAACAAACTACTCTTTATAAATGTGTGGAAACCTTCCCTTAGCAGTAGGGGTGTACACTTAACCTGACAACCTGGACCAACCCAACCGAACTATAAGGGTTGGGATGAGTTGGATTGGCACAAAACGTAAAATATATTAAAAATCTTTTGTATTAATGGGTTTGCCAGAGGTACTTTGCCATGCTCGAGTCTTAATCTTTTTGTATTAATGGGTTTGCCAGATTATAAAGGTGTGGAAACCTTCCCTTAGCAGTAGGGGTGTACACTCATCCCGACAACCCGGACCAACCCAACCGAACTATAAGGGTTGGGATGGGTTGGATTGGGACAAAACTAAAATATATTAGGAATCTGGGGTGTACACTCAACCCGACAACCTGGACCAACCCAACCGAATTATAAGGGTTGGGATGGGTTGGATTGGGACAAAACCTAAAATATATTAAGAATCTTTTGTATTAATGGGTTTGCCAGAGGTACTTCCCAATCGAACTATAAGGGTTGGGATGGGTTGGATTGGGACAAAATGTAAAATATATTAAGAATCTTTTGTATTAATGAGTTTGCCCGAGGTACTTTGCCAAGTCTTCATCTTTCTATATTAATGGGTTTGCCATAATGGTATTAATAATCTTTTGTATTAATGGGTTTGCCAGAGTGGTATTAAGAATCTTTTGTATTAATGGGTTTGCTAGGATGATACTTTGCCTAGTCTAAGGACACTCATGCTCGAGTTTGACGTCCGTCATAAAAATATATAAAATATATTAATGGTTCGCCTATCATAAGCCAGAGTGTGGTACTTTGCTTAGTCTAACGACACAGAGTTTGTCGCTCGACAAATACATGAGTGTTACTTTGAACACTCATGCTAGAGTTTCACCCCAGCAAATACATGTTTCTTTTTTATTATTTTGTTTAGGTGTATTAATTATGGTTTATACCATTATGGTTAATTATGGTGTATTAATTATATTTATTTGTTGCAAAATTATTATATCTCAATTTTATATATATTTTTATTTTTCTAATAGTTGGACTCTCTAACGTCACGTAAGCCTATTTCAATTATTTTTTTTTTGTTATATACCATGTCTTTAAACTAATCATTTTTATTGTTTATTTAATTATAGGATCTATTCTTATATTTTTTTCACTTTAACGAATTTTCAAGAAATGTCGGTATTTAGTTGTATTTAGTTTTATGACAATGTTGAACTATGTTAATATGTTATAATTGTCGCTCTTTTTTTTTATTGAATTTGTTTTTTTTTTTTTTTTTTT